TGTAAATGTTTTGAGAAATTATATTGGATTTTGTACAGCAATCACAACAAAACTTCATCAGTTTAAAACATGGTTTCATGAATAATGTTAGATTAGACTGACGATAACAGAATTCAATAAATTTCAATACAGAGAAATATCATGTAATCATTACAATCCTGGCAAAAAATAACTGGAAACAGTTTATGATTCAATACTTACCAAGGTTGGATATATCTTCCTTACTAAGTTTTACGTTTTTGTTCATTAGCTTGTGAATCTTAGAATAACTTTGCAATATTTGTTTAAACTGGTCGTGTACAGTTTCAGCTTCCAGTGTAAGCTCGGGGCACAGGTTTCTTGTCACTTCAATGGGAATGTTGGCAAGCAGGGTGATATTTTTTCCTTTAAGTACAATTGAGTCTTAAAAATTGCTTTTAGATGGCCAACAACATTTAAGTACAGTACTACAAATGCCAATTATACTAAGCATACATCTGTATCTTTTATGTAATAGGGAATTTTGAACTGGAGTTACATTATTTATAAGTCCCTTACCAAAAGACATTTATATGTATGGTTTCCATTGAATGAGCCCCCATGGTACGCTTGTCGATCAACACCTATTTTGTGCAAAGTCTCGTTTAAACTTTGAACACAAGGTCCATCAGATTGTTTAAGATTATTAGAATCTTCAATGTTGTCTGTCTGTAATATGTAAGATGGAAATAAGCATACATGAGTTTTGTGTAGAGCAAAAGTGAGCTAAATTTTATCTTTTGCTCACCAGATGTTTTTCTTTTTCCCGTAGTTGGTTGGCCTTTGATTGCAATGCATCAGCTAAGGTGTTATTGTCGGTATGCAGCGAAAAGTATGTGGCCAGTTCTTCACATTGCCTAGCCTCTAGACTGATTGCAGTTGTCTCCACTCTTCTCTTCTGTGCTTCTTTAAGTGTTTCAATAAAGGTAAGAAACCCTGCACTACCAACCTGTATAGAATGTAATATTGATTTTGGATCTTATAATAATAATAATAATACAATATGATATAATAATATAACTTATAACAACCTTATATAGCTTTCTCTACAATACAAAAAAGTGGAGATAAATTTAGTCTACATGTAAATTCAAATAATCTTAATGTTGAGATATAGAGAACTAGCAAGAAAACTAACCTTTTTGTCTTTATTTGCCAGAGCATTGGCTATGGTTACATCTAATGTATGTAGGGATTCAACAAAAAGAGTATAAAGTCTTTCAAATATGCCAATACTGACATGCAATCCAGGTAAGCATACCTTTAGAAAAGAGAAATATTAACATTTTTGTAACTGATCATTCATTAAATCTAAAGACTTTTGTCAGTAAATGAGACAAGCATTTCAAACCTGATCTATAGGGACATTTATAAGTGGTGGCCTAATAGMATTGTGATGTTGYTTGGCTTTGCYCAATAGTGACCCTGCCTTTTCAAATTGCCTGTTGTCAGCTCTTAGGCCCTCAAGTGTCCTCTCCTTCTTTAACCCTCTTTCATCCTTTGGTAATGCCAGCTCCGACAATGTAATCAGGCACCATAGACAACAGTATTTCCCTGAAATGTTTTAATGCTTTTAGATATCTCAAGCTAATGAAATAACATTTTATTACTCACATACCACTAGCACCTGATATCCCATAAAGGGCACAAAGAAATGYGTAGTCCCCAAACACAAATACTTTCAGTTTAAAATTCCTGGAAAAAATTCACATTTTTAATAAAATGGAGTTTACTAACTACATTATCTACTTAATTTTAACTGATACTGTACCTCCATGTTTTCTCTTGTAACTTCTCTACCTCTGAGGTGTATTTATCAAGCCCAAGTTTGATGTTGCAGGGGTTGTCAGGTGCTTCGAATGCTGCAAACACAACARTGTTCATTTTTGCATTCGGATTTTCTGTGTTGGCAATTTGAAAGGCCATTTTGAATGACCCTCCACCTTTATCCCCACCTATCTTTAGCCATATTTCGTCTTTAGGGATGATATCATGCCATATTAGGCGTTCATGCCTAAAGTATAATATGAAACATTTATAGTTTTCTAACAAAAATCCTTATCATTTGTTAAATATATTGTTTGCATGAGTGGGAAATATACCGCACTACTATAACAGTGCTGTAGTCATAATAGTAACGCATCATCACTGATTCAGGGTCAACGTGTGTACATACTTGTAATTTTCATTAAGATGGGAATACACAATTGATGATAAACTTGATACTTGTGCACATGAGGCCAGTCGTATCTCCGACGCTTGATTTGATTTTGCAAATTCAAAAGGCAATGCTTCACTTGAAATCTGAAATTATAAATAATTTGTGTCATGGGGCTAGAGCCCTCCTTGCTGAGGGTGTGCACACTCTGTATAGATGTTAGGCAACGATTGGATAATCACAACCAAGTTACTGAGTTTGATATACAACTAGGGTTTGCATGACATATTTTAGTTTAGACCATTTTTCTATAAGTACCTCAGCAAGTTTCTGTGCTTTTGCAGTTGACCTTTGCTCTTTTTCACTGGACAGATGCATCCCCCAACTTTTCAACCACCTAAACAAATATATTTTCAAAATTGTATAATTTACCTGTAATTAATTATATGATTTAGATACAAAACTATACAATGTATATGTGTTCTTTTTGTACCGTCTTAA